GTGACCAAAGTAATTGTGGAAGCCCTGGTGAAACTCTTCCACAACTCATGGCACTCTGGAGATGTCCTTGAGGACTGGAGAGGGCCAATGTTGTGGCCATCCACAAGAAGGGCAGGAGGGAGGACCCAGATAACTATAGGCCAATTAGCCTAATTTCCATCCTAGGGAAAATCCTAGAAAAGTTAATCAAGGAGTCTATGTGCAATAAGCTTGCAGATGGTAAGATTATGAATGACAGGCAACATGGCTTTGTTGCAGGCAGGGCCCGCCCATCTTATCCTGTGAAACCTGTGGCTGCAGGGGGCCTGTGTACAGCCACTTGCCACTCCCCTCACCCTGTGCCGCTGCCACTGGCTTCACATCAGATTGCTTGTCACCCCTCCACCCCACTCCGTCGCTGCCACCACCAGCTTCACATCCGGCCACTTGCCACCCCCCCACTCCTGCCAATGCCTCTGACACCAGCTTCAGTGTGGGGTGAGGAGGAAGGAGCAAAGTTCACCTGTCTGCAGCACATCCTCCTGCCACAGGAGGTTGGATTCCCCTTGGGCAAGGGTGACCTGGAACCCAGGTCAATGCTTAGATCGTCTGAACAACTGTTGTGTCGCATGGGGCCCAGCGCAGGTTGGCAGTGCAGACTTGGGGTCATTTTTTGTTATGAAAAAATATCAACAGCAAGTTATTTTATTCTAGTGCTGAGGTGGCCAACCTGCAGCATGCACAGGTGCCACAAGTGGCCCTGGCAGCCAGTGTGCTTGGCACAAGGCAGTCAAGTTGAGGAGCGGGGAGGGTGGTGCTATCTCAAGGGTCTGGCCTTCAGTTTGGAACTGAATTCAATGCTGCCACATCTTGGATTTGGTAGCACTAGGTGAGGGGGTGGCTCTTTATTAAAATGGAACGGTTGCACACTTTGGATTTAGCTCGTGGCATGTGTCAAAAAGGTCAGCCACCACTGTTCGGGTGTTTAGAAGGAATGTGCAGATGTCAGGGGTTCAAGATCCTTGCACAGCTCCCCAAGCCATGCTGACCTCGCCTAGTGTTCCCTGCTCCCTTTGGGATCCCTGGTTTGTTTCTGAGCTCACTTAGTATTCAGGGTTCCTTTGCGGGAAGCAACATGTCACAACTAATCTGGGTTGACATTTGTTCCACAAAATGGCCGGAGCCTGGGAGTGAGCTGCCAACAGTGTTCCTTAGCTTTATGAACGCAGGTGGAACTAAGGGCTTCACAATCTACCACAGCCCTGCAGTCCCCAGGCTGAACCCACCAAAAAAAGAAATTATTGAGAAATCATTGAGAAGTCAGGCTGGAAGAAATCTCTAGAGGTCATCAAGTGCAATCCCCAGTCTGAGGCAGGACCAGCCCCATCCAAGCCATTCTATACAAATCCATCATCTAACTTCTTAGAAAAACTACCATCAACACTGACACAACATAAACATAACACCCAAACCTGGCACAGGTAAAGCAGGGGGACCACAGTGGCCAACATCCTACTGCTGTAAAATATTGTTAATATACACTCAAGAGATCCCAGGTAGAGGGCCGAGGGAGCTACAAAGGAAAGCAAACCCTCCCCCCCTCAATCTGTACTGATCTGGCCATGTGGTAAAATTCCTACTTGACCCCAAAGATGGTGATTGGTCTGACCCTGAGTGGAGGGACAAGACCCCCTAGCTAGGAACCTTCGACTCTGGTCTCAGCAAGAGCATTGGCACAGCCCAATCAAAGTCCCCAGCCCTGGTTGTAGCCAATACCCAATGCCTATAGGAAGGCTTAAACACACACTGACATATGTAGCAGGAAGTGGGGAGTGGGATGGGATTCCCTCCCAGCCTCATGCAGCAACCAGCAAAGCTCAGAAACACTGAAAATACCCACAGTGGAACATAGGTGTAGCTATGTCTAGATCAACCCCAACCAGTGGCTGTCCAAGCTCTTCATGAACACCTCCAGGGATGGGGAGTCCACAGCTTCCTTCAGGGAAGTTACAGGGAAAGAGGGAAAAAATGTGCCTTGCTGAGAACTGAACAATACAGAATCAAGGCTGCTTTTCCTTCCTTACCAGACCAGACACCTGTCCCTGCTCCTTCTGTAGAGTCACTGGCCATTGTGACTCCCTAGTCTGTAACTTCCCCTAGCCCAGGTCAGAAGTCTCCCTTGACTAGCTGCCTGTTTGCATGAGGGCCATACAGAGGGGTTGACTGGCCCTTTGCTCCCAGTCCCACGTTAATGGTAGCACTGAGCAGCAGGGCCTCAGGATGACTCCAGGGATGGATCTGAGACCCTCAGTGCAGATCCCCAGGCCTCTGGGGCAGGTTTGCAGGAGAAGGGGCAGGGCCTCCACTGTCTCCTCCCTCTCTGTGCCAAGCTGCTTGGGTGGCAGGTGTCAAAGGAGCAGTCCCTGTTCTCCTGCTGGCTGAGATGTGGGTCTGGGAGAGAGTGGGATTGCTCCCATCCAGCTGTAGCTAGCTCTATGACAGCCAAGTCAGAATTAGCCTCGAGAAAGTCCAAGAAATCTCAGCTCAGTGCTTTTCTGCATAAAATAGAAATTCCACATCTTGGGGCTCTGCAGAAGTGAAGTCCCTGATGTGACTTCAGAAAGGTTCATCATCGTTAATATTCTGGAGCTAGAGATAAAAGGCAAGTGGGACCAGAGCACTGGCTGGCAGGGGAACTGATCTGGGCTTTCTGGTCAGACCAAGACCTCACCATCATTTGGATAGACCTCTTCCTCATGGATGGCTGGATGCTAGTGACTATTAGAGGTTTGCCATCTGGGCATGAAAACCTTTCCCACATCAGAGAAGTAGAGAGTAGCATGCACTTGTAGTGGGAAACACTGCTCCAGGGGCAGACTGTGAAGGTAACGTAAAGTGACTTCTGCTCTTTGTTACTTAATGAAACCTGTATTGTTCTAAGCTGTGTTCATTGGCTGCTGCTAATATGTCAACTGTTAAAAGCATTTAAAAATCATTCTTAACTTATTCCAAGGGAACACAGCTGGCCTCGCTCAAGAAGTAACTTCAGGTGAGCTGCTTAGGGATCCCACAATTCAATATAATGCCATCAGGGCAGGGTTCATATCAAAACCAGGACACTGACTTATGGCAAGGGTGATTTTACTCTCTAAGAAAAGAAACTTAGTGGAAAACAGCCTGCCACTAAAAAGATAGACTGAGATACTAGGGCTGTGTAAGTCACCTAAACAGGCACCTGGAGAGCATGCGTGCCTGTTCTCAAGCACCAGAGGCAAGAGGGTGAAAGCAAAGCAGGTGTCAGGCTTGGAAGCTGCCTGGCTAAGAGGGGAGTGGGACAATATCTGTGAGTTGGGGCAGTCCCCTGGCTTCCAGTGCCTTCTACAAAGGATGTTTAACTCTTTGATTTTAAATATTCCCTGAGGTAAGGACTGGAGCCTACTGGAGACCCCCCACCCCCCAACTCTGTCCACACCACATACACTGCAGTCCAGTAACTGGAGGGAGAGGGGCAATAGAGCCACTCATCCCCTCCAGCATGGGGGAGGACTGGCTGTGAGGGGATTATAGCCAGGGCTGCTGTCTGAAAGGGGAGGACAGCATCTTCTATCCTAGTGGCATCTTGTGGTAAAGAGCTAGCTCCAATGCCCAGCCCCAGGACGAGATTCACAGCTAGGAGACCCAAGTACAGAGAGCTGCCTTTCTGCTCACAATCATCATTTGTGCTTGTTGCTTAATCTCAAACCAGGGATGCAGAGAAATCCAAACCTGTGTAAAGGAAGCCTACAGAGATCTTTGCTTCACTGAAATCCTCAGATGGGAGTTAATGGAGACTGCTGAGGCCTTATGATCAGGGTAAAAACTGCCATATAACTATTTTGTGCATTTACCCCTGTTCCATGACTTATTTACAAGAAAAAAATACATTACAGCCCATAAACATTTCCCAAGAGAATTTGTAGTGTTACAGCAATGTTGTTAGCTGTGATGATTTAGGAATTATGTGAGGCAGGATTTTTTGGGGTGATATCTTTTATTGGACCAGCTGCCTGGTTGGACCAACTTCTTCAGGTTGCCTGATGAAGGATACTCACCTTATATTCAGAAGCTTATCTAACTTTATTCCAACCATGAAGTTGATCCTTGTCTTGGATATGACTGTAAACTGCACCTGAATTGGAGGGCTTGGTGGCAATGTAATGAGGCTACTTGTGGTGGGGTGCCACCTGTAAAATACCACAGTTTTGCATCCTTCAGAGTAAGGTGAATTTAGGGCACCTCAAAACCCTAGGTCCCACTGCCTTGTGGGTACTCCTTGATTGGAGAAAGGCTAAGGGACTTCATCCTGACAGAAATGCGCCCTTGCTGGAGCATTAGGCAGTCAGCAGCAGCTCTATCTGTTGCTCTCTGGCAGAAGCTACAACCATCAAGGTACTGAACATCTGGACTTGGTCTGGCCTTTGAATTCTGTCTCAATGGTCTAAAGTGGAGATGGTAAATCTACAGCAGCCTCCACTCTTCCAAACACTTTTCTAGGCATATGCACTGAAGGTCTTGGTGTGATAGTCACATAGACCTGTTGCACATACACCTTGATCCAGAGGATCGACAGTTGCCAATAAAAAGCAGTTGATTCAATAAAAGATATTACCCACAAAAATCCTCACCTCTCCAGTAGAATCCAGAGCCCAGTAGGTCTGAAGCTCAGTTGGAGGCTTGATTATTTCTGACTTGATCCTGGAGACTCTCTCCAAGTCAGGAGTGCACTCTGTGGATACTACTGGTGCACATTACATGATTCCTGCCCTCCCTCCACCCCGTGTGTATGATGTTTGCCTGCAGTACCTCTCCTATTTGTGACAGGGAAATGATTCTAGTAGTATGTAGTGTGATGCAGCCTGCCTGTTATTCCCAGTTAGGCCGATGATACAGGGAATATCATCTAATATATACGTTCTCTGTCCTGATTGGATCTTTATATGAGCTGAGTTTTTCTTATTACATTCCTTTCAGGTAACACAGAAATGCAATGGGAAAATCAAACCACTGTGACAGAGTTCATTCTGATTGGCTTCTCCAACTTCCCCGAGCTGCAGGTGGGGCTGTTTGTAGTGCTCCTCCTTGTGTATTTAGTGACGCTGGCTGGAAACACCATGATCATGATGGTAATCCAGGTGGACTGGAGCCTGCATACCCCCATGTATTTTTTCCTGGGTGCTTTGTCTTCCTCTGAAATCTGTTACACTTTCACCATCATCCCCAAGATGCTGTTGGACTTGGTGGGAGGGAACAGAACCATCTCGTTCCTTGGATGTGCTGTCCAGATGTACTTTTCCTTCCTGTTTGGATTCACACACTCCTTTCTGCTGACGGTAATGGGCTACGATCGCTACGTGGCGATATGTAACCCCTTGCGTTACAACGTCTTCATGAACACCCGCATCTGTGTCCAGATGGTGGCTGCCTCCTGGGCTGGTGGGTGTCTCATAGGGCTGGTCGTGACGGTAACTGTATTCCACTTGCCCTTCTGTGGGCCAAACAAAATTAGTCACTTCTTCTGCCACATGCCCCCACTGATCGAGTTGACTTGCACTGACAGCAACACCCTGGGGACTTTGGTGGGCACCTTCTGCATGGCTGGCTTGTTGGGCTGCTTCCTTTTCATACTCCTCAGCTATGCCTTCATCCTGAGCACCATCCTGTGCATCCCATCAGCTGTGGGGCAGCACAAGGCTTTCTCCACCTGCGCCTCTCACCTCACTGTGGTGATTGTGCACTATGGCTGCGCCTCTATCATCTACCTGAAGCACAAGTCACCACGCTCGTCAGACGCTGGCACGCTGATTGACTTGACTTACACAGTCATTACCCCTTTTCTCAGCCCCATCATTTTCAGTCTGCGGAACAAGGAGCTGAAAAACGCCTTTAGAAAATCAATTGGGAGAAGCATGTTCTCCCAAGGAGTGTGTGTGCTCCAGATGGAGCAGGGTGGATGAAACAAGTAACACAATGGTCGCAAACCAATTCCTTTGTGAAGCCCAGTCAAAGCATCAGTAACAGCTTTGACTATAGATTTCCTGTGAAGGTAAAACAGAAGGGATTTCATACAAGCCAGGTGTATGGAACATCCACATGTGCCTGACACTGCTGTGCCTCCTACTCAAAGCACCTCATTACACACATTTTCCATGCGACTGAATCTCTTTGCCAGTGTATATCTAGTTGTGTGAGAGTGGGTGTCCTGAAGATCTTCACCAGCCTGTGGCTGGAGTAGCCCAGATTTATCCCCCTCCAAGGCACCTACTGCAAATCCATCTTTCTCTGGGATTCTGTGGGGGAAATAGCTTAGGGCTGGTTCCTGGAGCTGACGTCCTGTTCCTTTCAGTCTTTGCTTCTCAGAGGTCTACACGGTTGCTTCTATCCCCTGGCAAAATTTGACTCCCTGATTGTTCACTAGTGTGATTGGCGTTTGTCAATAGCACACAGTGCCCTTTTTTTCCAATTGGTAATTTGAATAAATGAAATGCTAAATGCCTGAATAAACTCTTGTTGCCAGGTTAACAAAACTGTGGCCAATTCCCCCCAGATCCTTGGGGAAGAATTAGGTCAATTCCAGCCTGCAGCTGCAGGGGTTCCCAGGGTCTTGGCTATATTGCAGGACTGCTGAAGAGGCATGGCCACCATGCTTTGGTGGCTAGCAGAATACCCAGCAGGCTGCCGGGGAGATGGAAGCCATGGGGCTGCTGGCTCCTGTTTCTGCAGTGGGGCTTGGGGCCTGGGTGGCAGAACCCCAGTGGGGAGCAGGATGGGGCCATGGGTGGCTCATTTGGGGGGGAGAGGGGGGGCCTAGCTCCTCATTGCTGCTCGCATGCCTGGGGGGGGTAGCAGGGACCCACACCCCACAGATATGTGTGCAGGGCAGAGGTAGGCGTGAGCTGCGCACTGCAGGCTTGGGCTTTCACCCTGCTGCCCTCCCTGGGGCCTCCACAGCCCAGCATGTGTAACTCGGCATTGCAGGTCACAGCACAGCCACACAGGAAAGCTGCTTGCCATGTCCCCTGCGCCATGGCTCCCCCTGCCCCTGCTCATGTCACAAGGGTGGCATGGAGCCAAGCAGCTTTCCTGCGTGGCCACACTCTGCCCTGCAGTGCTGGGTCACACACAATGGGCTGTGGACCCAGGAGAGAGCAGCAAGGTGGGAGCCTGAGCCTGCAGCCCCTTCCTGCCCCCACCCCACACACAGATCTGGGGGGCATGGGTCCTCCTGCCCCTCCCCAGGAGTGCATACAGCAACGAGGAGCTGGCTGCCCCCTGCCTGAGCCTGCAGTGGCAGGCAGCAGGATGGGAACCAGGCTCTGCTCTGTTGCAGCAGCCACCACTTCCTGCCAGGGGCAGGGCTCCTGTGGACCCAGGTGCCTGGCCCCATAGCCTTAGCAGCCAGGAGCCTCCTCTGGCAGGGCTTGGGGAGCAGGAGGCTGTTGGTATGGACGAGAGGCACCAGCAGGGCTGGGATCCAGTGGGGGGGAGTCAGGGGCACCAGTAGGGCTATGGGGGATGTGGGGGATCTTTAATTTTAATAATGGATTTTGGAGTTTTTATTAGAGAATTTGCAACTTTTTATCAAGGAAAACCAGGATCCCTAGTCAGGAGGGACATGCTATACATGAGGGATGTGAAAAGCATGCTATGGTCAAGGCACCCAAGGGGGAGAAGGAGGAGCAGATTCACCTATAAAAACCCAGGAAGAAATGAGACCAGTGGGATCTCCACTTCAATGCCTAAGATGACCTGCAGATTCCTTCAGAAGAACTTTCTGAATACTTGGCTGTAGGAAGACACTCTGCCCATGGGATTACATAAGACTTAGGCAAGGCTTTCTGTTGTCTTTTTGGTTTATTGTACTGCATTTTAACTTAGACTTACAGGGGGCATCTACATGAGACGTTATGTCATTGCTACTGCACAGTAGGGTTGGAAATGACCTGTGCACTGCAGGGACTGTGCATTACCAACTGCGCTGTGGGATGCATGTATAGACATGCTCACTGTGTGTGTTGTCACTATGTCTTAGTTTAGGCAAAGTATTTCTGTTGTTCTTTGTCATGTATTTGAAATTGCAAATTGCTGTGTTCAGTAAATGCTGTCTTAAGAGAATGGACTATTCTTGTTCAAGCATTTATGAATTCAGTGCTACTACCTAAAATCTATTAAGTCTGGTAACAGTGGGGAAAGTGAGGCAGATGCTCCCAAGGCTTGAGAGATTTGATCCTGTCTGAGAAGTCTCAGGATGTGCAGGACCAGACCCCTCAAGCCCATGAAGCCCCTGCCCAGGGCAGCAGAGAGCATGAACAGTGATAGGGTGCCCCACTCTCCTGCCATAAGCAAACAGACACTGGCTGCAATAAAGTGGCACATTTTTTTGCTACCATCTGTCGGGGCCACAAATTTGGGCATTTGTAGCGTGACAAAGAATATAGACATCTGTTCACTTTTACTTTGTGCCTCCATAAAAATTCTGATGGAGTCACAAACGTGACATCTGTTTCCACCCGAAGTGGAAGTGACAGGAAGTTTCTGCCCATTGGGTTCCAGCCAATGTCTGGCTTTACAGTGAAGCCCCAACCCCTGCCTTCCCAAGCTACAGGTTTGCTCGCTAGCTCACTGGGAAGGCTTCATTTCCTTCACTGGGCTCTGAAGCAGTCTCAGTCAAGGTTCGAGCTTGGTGAGGTGAGAGAGACCTAACTGTGGACATTTACTACAGGCCACTGAACCAAGGGGAGGAGCTGGATCTGGAGTTCTCTCAAGAACTGATAGAGGCCATGCATGCAAGGGACTTGGTTGTCATGGGCGACTTCAATTACCCAGACATAAATTGGGAGGAATGCTCAGCTAGGTCGGATCGGTCATTTAGTTTCTTAACTGTAATCAAGGAGCTCTTTCTGACACAGGAAGTGCAAGTGCAACCAGAGGTACTGCTCTCCTAGACTTGGTCTTGGCCAAAGGAGATGATCTGCTGTGTGGCTTGGCCATTGAGGGTAGCCTGGGTGACAGCGACCATAAGCTCATCAAGTTCACTGTTCATCACAAGGCTGACAAATCAACTAGCAGGACTGAAGTCCTGCACCTCAAAAATACTGACTTCCACAGGCTCAGGGCATTAGTAGGGAAGGCGATGCGGGACTAGGGACGGAAGGTGAATGGGGTGCATGAAGAGTAGTTGTTCCTTAAGGACATGATCCTCGAAGCACGAAAGAAAACTGTTCCCATGAAGAGGAAAGGTAACAGAAGGGTTGGCAAGCCCTCTTGGCTCAATAGGGACATTACCTCAAAAATACTGACTTCCACAGGCTCAGGGCATTAGTAGGGAAGGCGATGCGGGACTAGGGACGGAAGGTGAATGGGGTGCATGAAGAGTAGTTGTTCCTTAAGGACATGATCCTCGAAGCACGAAAGAAAACTGTTCCCATGAAGAGGAAAGGTAACAGAAGGGTTGGCAAGCCCTCTTGGCTCAATAGGGACATTGCGGTTCTCTTGAAAAAGAAAAAAGAGGCATACACACAGTGGAAGCTAGGGACAGTCCTCAAGGAGGACTATACAACAGTGGTCC